ACTGAAAGTGTCCAATCTTTTCGTTGTTGCAAATTCACGCGCCACCAGTCTGGATCTGCGCATCCATCTTTTCCTTTCACCTTCACCTTCTCCATAAGACTTCAAACGCCAATCCCTGACCATCTTTGTAGTCAAAGAACCTGTGATTTCGCCTTGGAACTCGGATTGTGGCACCAAGACTTGCATGCTGCACAAACGGTCAATCTCCACCTTATCTGCAAGGTCATCAATCCATTTTTCTGGACTGCCAGGCGCGGGTTGATCTACTGGAGCGTCTGACCACAAATACTCTGGAATTCCAGTCAGCACAACCGCATCTTCACCAACCCAGTCTTCATCCTCTTCAGCTGATTGTTCAAGATTCAAATCTGTCTCATAATCATCCATAGTGAAGTACTCTTTGTAGGCAATCTTGACAGCACACAATCTCTGCTCGTATTCAGCTTGTAACCTGGCAATGCGCTGTCTCTTTGATTCATCCAAACGTTGCCTCTTTGAAGAGTCCTCATCTGACGGTTCTGCTGCTCGAGATGTTGCTGGCTCTCGAGGGCTTTCGATCTCTATATAGTCCCTGGGCGGTGTCACCGGCACTGCAAGACCTGGATCCCCTGACATATCATCTCCAGTATTAGTCAAAGGTGGATTCTCTGCTGTCACATGGATTGGTCCACTAGGTAATGCAGGACCATCATCATCCACAACCTGCATACCTTCCAGTTCACCTGCAACTCCTTCACCAAGTTTCTCTCGCAAAGCCAAACTGAGTGGGTCATTGGCTGACATGTGCAACTGCTCCTCCTGCGCTTTCTGTTCATCAATTGCATATTGAATCACTGCTTCAGCATCTTTGTCGTGCAATGCACTTTCTTCAATTGGTCCCAGAGGCACCTCAAACGCAACTGACTTCGGCACTGGTTTTCTCATAGTTGGCAAGATTCTTGCTCCAAACCCAGCTTTGTACTGCCATGAAAAACACCGACAATGCAAATAATACGCCATGTGACTTCTCCATTCAGTGTTGATTCTGCGCACGCTTCTCGTAAGGAGAATTGATTGTCCATCAAATGCCACATAGCTGTTTTGAATGTCAGCTTTCCCAAGAAATAACATCCTCTTCCATTTGGCAGTCGCTTTTGTGGTTGGAATCACATAGCCAAAAATTGGCTCCCCAAACTCGCACAACTCACCAGCATATGTACGACCAAAAGCCAGTTCATAAGGTGTGGCACCTCTGATAACTGAAAACCTTGAAATAAGCCATGCTGAATGTCTCAGGGCCCAACTCCAAATTGCGCTCGATGTCTCCAGCTGAATTCCAAGTCTTCCATGAACATGGTGCATCAACGTACATGCCAAAGCTCTGACTCTGCCAACAGCATTCTCTGCAAGGCTGTTGCCACCTTTGTCATATGCCACAGAGCTACTTTCACGTGTCTTAAGGCCCATACCTTGACGTGTCTTTAGCACCAATCGCTTCAATTGCAGTATTGAAGGTTCATTGTCGCAATGCAAAATCACTTCTGAATGCCCTAACATTTGCACAAACTTGATGATCTCCCTGTTTGCATGATCCAGCTGAGATTTCCCTTCCAAAGGGATGCATGACACAAATCCTGTATGGCTGTCCACCACTACCAGTGCAGTTATTGTATCGGGATTGCCTGAATCACCAGCCTGACCATCAGATTTTGTGAAGAAGTAGTCAAAGGATATGGTGGGCACTGCTCCTGCATGCGACTCACCTGAACGTTCATGGCGATCAGAACGTGCCCTGTGCGCAAGACATGAAGGGCACCACTGCTTGTATGGCACATGTGTCAACCTATGTTGTGACTGCTCATACTCACTAGGCACTTCTGCAGAAACTGGTGAAAGTGGATGCCGTTCCTGCTGTTCAAATGCCTGTTTTGCTGCCGCCATCACTGATTCCAACTCAAGTTTCTTTGAATGTTCAATCAAACGTTTGAAACACTTCTGCTTTGACCCTGAGCTTGAAATCCCATAGAATGAGCACCCAGCTCGTAGCGTAGCTAGCGAACTGAATTCCCTGAGAACAGTTCCATTTACGCAAACTTCATCCTCTGCAATCGGCTGCACCACAATTTGACCTTCAGGAACATCTCTCCCTTCAATGGGAGGCTCAGCATCCATCACTTCAATGTCATGGTCTGCATCTGCTTCAACAGGAAAAACTTCACCTGGCTCATCAACCAATGAAAATCCCATTGCACGTGGATCCTTCTCTGATTCTGTGATGATCGTGATAATGTTTCTACGTCCAACCATGTCATGAAACTGAGCATCCAACTGCACAAGTCCCTCAAGCATTTCACAGAGTTCCATCACATACCACCTTTTGTTGTTTCCTTCAACCAACGTTGTCCTGTAAAAACGTCCATTCAAATCTGGTCTTACAAGCAATGGATCTTGATGGTGATCTGCATAGTGACGCCCAATGCCACAACCGTTTGAATCCAACTGCCAGCCTACTGAGCCATTGACGATGCTCTCATCAATTTCTGCCTGGATAGCCCTGACATGAAAACTGCCTGGAGAAATGCAATGTTCAGTCAAGACTCTGATGCTGCCATGCACAACCATTGATTTGTTCTGCAACTCTAAGGGAACTGCCGCGCCTGCTATGCTGTGAACAAGCATTTGTTGGCCGCCATCAATGCCCCAACCGTTTTCAAGCATCTTTCCAAAACTCAATATTGGTTGAGACACCCTGTCTGAAATCGCAACCGTTTCACGCAGCAAAATGACACGTCCAGTCATGTCCCTCAAAGCTATCTCCATGTCCTTTGTGGCTTCAATTGGAATTTCAACTCCCTGTGCGTCAACCAGGCGTCCAACTGAGGCTACAGCAGGTGCTCCTTTCTCCAACAGGCTAGATGGAAAGATTGAGGCATCTGCCCCACTGTCCAACAAGATATCATGCAGCTCTTCCAAACGCTCACTGGCCATGCTGTCATGTGAAATCGTACGCACAGCACCACTGAAAAAACTTTCATCACAAGCGTCCTTCAAAGAGTCACCAATGTAATGGTAAATTGCATGAACACTTCCATGAAAACTGGCAGGGCTTGAATCACGCATGTCAAACACCAATCCATTGTCACTTGAACCAGTTGGCAACTCACAAATCCTAGCAACTTTGTACTGAGTCGACGACGATGGAGGCACTGGATGCTGTTGTTGAGAAACACTGGACATCCCACCAAGTGAAGAAGATGGTGATCCCTGAACTGCCGTGGAACCTGCAGCTGCTTCTGAACCAACCTGTCTCACCTGACCAGAATGCCAGCAGTCTTTAGCCATGTGACCAGTGCGTCCACATACGTAACATGCTCTTGAGTCTCCTTTTCCTTTGCCCTTGGATCGATCGTTTTGCAAACTGACGTTTCCCTTTGAACCCTTCTGATTCTGATCTGAAGGCTTTCCTTTTCCTTTTCCATCTTTGTTCTTTCCTTTTCCTTTTGACTTTCCCTTTGAATTGTCTTTTGATTTTCCCTTTGAACCTTTTGATTTGCCCTTGGACTGCACACGGTCTATTTCCATTGGAACTGGACCTTCAGCAGCACTCATTGCACTGTCTGTACCCAGCACCATCTGCTCAGACCATTTTGTAGTGCTCGAATCGTAGAGCAACACCATCTCACGCACCTTTGCATATGTGGTTGATTCATTGACCTGAAGTTGTAGCCATACCTTCAGCTGTCCAGTCAGTGACCTCATCAAAATGGCCGTCTTGAGATCTTCATTTTATTTTCTATGCCAACCAACCACCATAAACAACCAGGGAGGCAAAGCCCACAGACCCACTGGAATCTAATCTGACATGCCCTGACATATATTCTGACCGCACGTCGCCCAAAAATAAAAACGTCGTATCACAAAAACACAACTGAGTCTGCACGTGGATCAGTTCAGAAAATTTAAAATACATGTCACCGTTCTCATGTGGCTCTGCTTGAAGATCACTCGGTCCGCACATCTTTTTTTCCAAGCATTGGGGTGGTCTCACATGTCGTCCTGCCAGGCCAACAGGTCGAGTCGGATGCTGCACCCGCACTCACGGCTGTGGGTAAGGCAGGAAAGAAATCATCGTAGGAAGGTGAAAAGAATTCTGTTTTCCAGTGTGATCATTGCTTGATTACACCGAGCAATGAAACGTCTCAATTCCAAATTGGTGGCATGTAAGTGGCGAAGAAGGAATTGACCTTCGAAGCCTAAGTCTTCCAAATCGTCCATCGCCTCTTCCAATTGGTATTGCAACTGGATGGCTGTAAGTTTGACTCGGTAGAAAAACAATAATTGTTGAATCAGGATTCTCACATGGTCAGTGGCAGCGCGGCGAGCTGCTCGTAACATAGAAAGGTTCAGTCCCCTCAAAAGAGGGCGTTGGTGGGAGGGACAAACTTTTGAGGAGTTAGCAAAGTAAGTCACCCACCACCCACCACTTGAACCAAGACATTGCATGGAAAACAGAATTCAAAATGGTTGTGTCTGAAACGTGTTATTTCCAAGTGGATCAAGACATGTTTCCAGGTTAAACAAAAACACAAAAACAAAAAGATTAAAAACCAGAGTCCCAAGGTGTTTGGTGTTGGTTTAATTTGCCTCTTTAAAAACCAAGGCAAATTTTGGCAGTCGCAAATAAGGTTATTATCCTTTCAGGAGTAACAACTTATTTTCTATGCCAACCAACCACCATAAACAACCAGGGAGGCAAAGCCCACAGACCCACTGGAATCTAATCTGACATGCCCTGACATATATTCTGACCGCACGTCGCCCAAAAATAAAAACGTCGTATCACAAAAACACAACTGAGTCTGCACGTGGATCAGTTCAGAAAATTTAAAATACATGTCACCGTTCTCATGTGGCTCTGCTTGAAGATCACTCGGTCCGCACATCTTTTTTTCCAAGCATTGGGGTGGTCTCACATGTCGTCCTGCCAGGCCAACAGGTCGAGTCGGATGCTGCACCCGCACTCACCCCCGTCCAAGCATGTGCAGCGTTTCTTCGTACGACATGATCACCACGTCCCAAGCTACTGAATCTCGAACGACTCCACGTTGTATGAGGTCTTCAACCTGCATCCTACTTGGAGCGTCCGACGGATTCGAGTGAGATCCTACTCTCCCAAACCATATTTTCCATTGAGAGGAGTCCTCGAGATGGACGAACATTTGTACCATCACATTACCAAGTTCAGTGGAGGAGTACGCCTTTATCAGAGCAAGCCGGCTTGCTTCATTGTCAATATATGATACCACATAACGCGCCGGGTGAAGGCCACCCCACAGGAAAACGGCCAAATAGGCCGCTAGCAGTTCGATCAGATAGATCGGATTCACAGCCTCTTTCATCAAAGATTTCATCAGGATATCGGGAATCACTTCGGCAAAAAATCTGAGCGGGTTCCCTTGTTCATCAAAAAGAATTCCACCGACTGACCCCGACTCCTGAGTGCTTTCAAAGGCGCCATCTGTAAAAATAAGCAAAGCATTTTCTGTCTCGGCTGTTAGTTCAAGAGGTAGTCCATTGCTCACCCTCTCCTTCAGAAAAGTCAGAGCTGCTTTGAGTTCTGCGTCAAGCTTGGTGTCCCGAGGTGCCATCTTGGACAAGGCACGCTTGCCTATTCGATGCACTGCGAGGTTTGCTATTCTTCCGAATAAATAAGATTCGTACCACTGGACTCGGCCTTTCAGGCTTTCAGCTTCCTTTGGTGTTAAAGACCCCTTGGTCAGGATCTCTTCCAAGCGCTCAGTCAGTTCCTGCTTCCTCTCAGGCGTGTGCTTGATAAAGACTTTTCCTTTTCCAAACTGGCTCAGGTCGAAGACTAACCCCAATGCCCGCATCTCCTCAGAAAACTGTTGACACTTCTTTCCTGACTGGGCGTATTGTATGCCCAATAGATCAAATAACAATCCAACACATCGCTCAGTATTGTCGGACAAAATTTTTCCTGACAGTGTTGGAAAGTCATCGAAGAAGGCACTGCACCAAATCTTCAGCCCAACGGACAAGACGAAGAATAGGGCGGAGCTCACACGCAAGAAGCCTGCAACACTTCCCGTAGCACCAAAAGGAAGGGCGTTAAGCCCAAACAGTCTCGGTTCCTTGGTTAAGGGGTTCCAGGATGGCGATTCTCAAATGGTCACGGTCAGTCTGGTGTATGGGATATTGTTTGTATGCCGACTTCAGGTCAAATGTTTTTCCACAAATCTCCAAACCTGGTCCAAATTTTCCATAAACCAATGCCCTTATCAAAGTTGCAGCAATGTAATCAACGCCATGCAAAACGAACTTCTCAGGCAAACCGCAAGAGTCATTCAATCCACACTGCTTGAAATTGTCACTGACTCTCACTTTATCGCCCTGACGGATCCCAAAGCGGTGAGCAATGATCTTTTCTTTGAAGATCCCGCTATCGTCAGGCCAAATCCATCCTCTCTCTTCTTCAAGTCTGGTTTCTTCCCAAGCCGCTGCATGAAGTTCAGTGTCCTCCGGTTCCACAACCCTTCTGCGCGCTGCTTTCTGGAGCCCTGCCGATGACTTTAGCAGGGCTGCAAGGCTGATCCTCGGAGGTCGAGGGAGACTGGTAAAAACTTTTGAATCACGCATCCACCCTGCCAACTTGAACCCGCTGACTATGTCCTCAAAGAGTTTCTTATCCGGGTAATCGAGGTCCTCCAGTATGTCACGAAGCAAAAGGAGTCTCTTGCCCTGTAAAACTTGCTTGACATGATTGCTCAAACCGTCATGCAGTTTTCTTTCATCTTCAGACAGGTCCTGCGCGCGCTTGAGCCACTTATTGAAAAACTCTGTACGCAAATTGAGCAAACCTTCAGTATTCAGACTCAGGTTTGCTGAGACCAGTTCATTCATTTGTTGGGTACCAGAGTAAGGCAAAAACCTTGGGTGACCTACCATGGCCGCTTGTTGCACAAAGTCCCAGGGTTCACGCGGAATTCCAATTGTGACGACTTCCACCGTAGTTGCTTCAGCAAGGTCCTTTGTGTCACCAAAAAATTCCATTGATACCTTTTCCAAAGAGGAAACACGCAATTCACCCCAAGTCAGAAGTTTCCGATGGGTGATTCTGGCACCTTTCAGTTGTTTACTTACTATCTTATCAGCATTGAAATGAGGAAGCACTGCAAAACGCAGGTAGTCTGAGAATTCACTGACCAATGGACGCAATTTTTGTCCTCTGGGCAGGATGCCCATTGCCACTGAGTTGACTGCTGTATTGCGGTTGACTTTAATTTGGTCTGTGAAAGTATCTGGGCGCACTAACCCAAGGCTTTCGAGCTCTTCAACTACCAGCGCTGTCACCCTTTTGCAGAGTAAAGGTGGGTACTCAGCTTCCTCTTTTGTGGGGTAATAAACCCCATCTGCTGTTATTGAAGGTGACCACGGCTTGTGGGTGTGGTCTTTCGTGCACGCCAAATTGAAAGAATTGAAAAAGTCATCATTGCACCACCAAGCTGTCTGCTTGTCTCTTTCTCCTCCCATCATGCAGCTGTGAAAGTTGTTCATGTGTCCAGGGCATACCTCAAATAAATCTATCATTGGGTCCGTCAGCCAAAAAAGGCTGTTTGTTGGGTTTTCAATCGAAACCCTGATGTTCAGTGAGAGCGCCAGTTTCACCAGTTTGTTTGTAGCCCAGTACAACTGATTTGCCAGGCGGACCTTCATGGCGTCGAGGCCTCTCAAATTTGGCAGGCCCGTTGGGAAAGCTTCAGACCGCAAAATCTGCGGTGGTGTGATACCATCACTTGCCAATCGATCCAGGACTGCTGGGGCCAATCGTCTCTTTCGAGCTGCTGAGCAAGTTCCACAAGGTGGTGCGAAGTGAATCAAACAAATATTATTTGCCTCTTGCCTGATAAATTCTGACAAAAATGCCACATCCTCCTCCACTGTCAAATCCAAGACCGTAATGGGGCCTTTGGCCCTTCCAACTGTCTTGTCAATGGCCACACCTCTGAGATTAGCTTTCCTGATCTCAATGGTGAGGTTTGAAGAGCCTGCGAAAACTTCCAGCACCAACATGTTTTCAAACAGTTGTTTGCGTGTTGTCTCGCTTGCCAATGAAACATCTGAAGTGAAACTGTTTTGAAGCCCATCCAGGTGTTGTTCACCCGCATCGCTGCTTCCTACTGCATTTCGCTCTGTAGCTTTCGCTCCATCAACTTCTGTAGCCGTTAGTCAGTGATCTCCTTTCTTTCCTTGAGCAGCCTTGCAATTCTGAAACGAATGGCCTACTCGCCTACAAAAGGCGCACATGTGAACTCCCTTCACGCATCGTGGCGGTTGCCCTGTGACGCTCAGATCACAACCATTGCTCAAATTGTATGACCAGCAAATGGGTTTACCGTCCGATGTTGATTGATAGCAAGACTTGAGCTCCTCAGGTGGCGTAGGGGTTGTCCTGTTTCGTTTCCCAGGACGCGCTTTCTTTTTAGGTCTGACTCCAGTGTTGCTTGGCGCATCACCCGACGTTTGCTCCTTCACTGTTGTGGTTGAAGACGCCGCAGGTGCTTTGTTCGGCATTGACAACATGTGCATTGTGACCCTTGGATCACACATGAGTTTTTCAACTGCAGCATCCAAAGGTCTGTTTCCATTCGAGTCTGGTTTCACCGTCTCAACATCTCTTGCAAGGATTGTCCACAAAGCTTTGTCGGCTGCAATCAATTGTGCCAATGTAACTCTGCTGAAATTTGCTGGAGGGTCAGATGCGTATACTGCAAACATAGTTGACAACCATTTCTGAGATGTTTGCCATGATAGTAATTCACACATTTCCAATGCAACACTCCGTCTTTGCCAACACCACTGCAGTTTAATCTCAGAGCTGTGATCTGCATCCCCTATCTGCGCGCCTTCTGTACTGACCTTCAAGGTCTGTGATTCGATCTTCAGCACCTGTTGATTGTCCTTGGGAGCGGCCTGAATTTCAAGTTCACGCTTCGTGCAAACTGATGGAGCCAGCCACATGACCGAGTTTGTGTCATACATTGCCTGGCATTTGTCAACCAATGCATGGGATGGTTCAGTTTCCCCTTGTATCAGAAAACCTGATACTGAGGCTTTGACCCTCGCATACCTTGCTTGCTTCTCTGCAAACGGCAATTTCTTGATGCCCTCACTTGTCTCACTAGTGACTGCCGTCTTCAGCTGTGACAAAACCAATGTGGCGGCTTCGAAGTGTAAGCGCCTAAGCAAGCCTGTCTGTCCTGCTGATGCCCCTCCTCCTAAAACTGAATCTGCCAACGCCTTGAACTCTTCATCGCTTGGTGGCCGGTTTGGTGTGCCACACTCAAATGCAAGCTCTGAAAATGAGCTGATGTTCTGTGCAGCCAGCTGGTCAAAAAGTGAAATTGTCGTCGTTGACAACTCGCCACACCTCTGTTGGAATGCTGCCTTCGAATCGATCAGTGACATGGTCTATCTATGCGAAGGAGGGCAAACGGGTTGTATACATTCTCAATTACCCTTTAAATTATAACAAGAAAAAGGCAAACTGCAAAGCCAAACATTTAAGTTTAGTTCGTTCTTCTGTATTCCAAGTTTCATGTTTGATAGGCTCATGTCTTGTAGACGTGATGGCAGCACCACTCACACCTATGAGCCACAACTATTGTCACAAGACATGCCGTCTAGTCGCTCAACCCACTTGACGTTGGATGACCACACGTCAATGGATTGCAATGAAAACCAAGGTCATCAGAAATTAAAATTCCTTTTGATTCATGGACAACCACTCCAAACCTTTGAGTGGATTCACCACCTCAAGTTGTGTGTCGTCTTGCATGAACCCTAGTTTTCCACCCAGCGCTATCGCTGTTGGATCTGCGCTCAGCAACCCCTGTCACGTCCCGTGCCTTTGCACACATGACAAGTCGCTGAACCATGTCTATGTTGAGTCCGGGTCGCTTAACAGCGTCCAGGCTGGCCAAAGGCACATACCAAAAAGTATGCCTATGTTTGGCAGAAAAACACATCTTGGTTTGTTTGTTTTGAACAAAGTTGAAACCACCTGTGTGTAAAAACTTCAATGGGCGCTTGAGTTCCAAACTCTCCGCCTCGCTTTCAGGAAGATCTTGTATGGTGTCATCCATCATGACTCCACCATGAACGCTACCAAGCTGTCCATCACCACTGGGCTCTGGCGTCACATAGAAACTTGTCCGAGGTTGTCCAGCCAACGTCCAGTGCCATAGTGCCCATCGACTCAAGTGAAATATGTTCCGACATTCAGAAAAACTGGGAACGATTTGCACAGTCCTAATAGAATCGTGGATTTGCAATTCCACTTTGACATTGCCAATGTTCCATCTGTCTGAGGTCCCAGCTGCAAGGTGTTTTTCTGCGGCTGTGGTCAGTACCACTGTCTCTAAATCAAATGCAGAACAATGCCGTGCCAAATAAAACCTTGTCACAACTTGCCAAGTTCCAAAATTCCAATACAACTGATCGGCATCAAGTGAATCAAAGCTCCAGTTTGTTTACCTTGCGACTAAATCAATTGATACTGAGCACCAGCACCTCTTACTGAAGGCCGTGTCGTCTTGCTCCAGCAATTCGATCGTTTCGGGAGACAATAAGAACCTGTTCAGACTGTCAACCAGCACTCTTCAAACTGCAACAACTTCCTTATTCCAATGCTTCCAGCTTGGGTGAACACTACTGTCATAATGTGTCCATGAAGTCACTGTCCACGTTGTAATATGGCATTGGTCACTCAGTCGTCTCCCAAAGCATATTAAAAAACGAACTCACTGTAGCATCAGGTACTGCAACTGTATACAGGTTCGAAAGATAAAATTCGAAAATTGCAGCTCAACACGTTATGACGAACTTGATGACAAATTCAGCAGCTTCCGACGGTGTAGGCACGACATCCAGCTGTCGGTCAGGATCGTCAGGTCAGTGTATAAGTCTTCCGAAATCCAACCAAACGTCATGCCGTGTTATAACACCTGCAGCCCGGAATTTCACCAAGTCCATTGCCTCACCCCCCAGCACAAACTTTTGAGGGGTTAGCAAAGTAAGTCACCCACCACCCACCACTTGAACCAAGACATTGCATGGAAAACAGAATTCAAAATGGTTGTGTCTGAAACGTGTTATTTCCAAGTGGATCAAGACATGTTTCCAGGTTAAACAAAAACACAAAAACAAAAAGATTAAAAACCAGAGTCCCAAGGTGTTTGGTGTTGGTTTAATTTGCCTCTTTAAAAACCAAGGCAAATTTTGGCAGTCGCAAATAAGGTTATTATCCTTTCAGGAGTAACAACGAGTTTTGTCCCAAGCTTCTCGTACTCTGCAAAGGCATGCTCCAAGCGCAACAACTGCTGCATCAAAGAAAGCTTACCTGTAAACGCAGGCCAATTCATGATGACATTCAAAAGCCCCATGCTTCTGTTCTTTGAAACCGGCTCATTCTGCTGAATCAACATCCGGTATGCTTCCAGCCCGTTTGAACCTGTCACGTTCCTAACCACCAGCAAAGGCCTCTGACGAAGCAATGATGAAAGAAGGCTGTACAGAAAATGATTTCTCTGCCGCTCTGTATCTGTAAAATCCACAGGATCAACAGCTTGATTGGGGTTTGCACGCAGTTGTTCTATATCATCTGCAAATTTGGCATCTATGGAGGCAACGTACTGCTCGAATGCCCATGACCACTCACGCCATGCAGCTATCTCACTTTCTCTATTGGTATGCTCAAACGTTGGTGGCTTTGGCAACAGTCTCCACCATTGCTTGCTGTCATCAGTTGAAGTTCTGGAAACGCCTTCAACTGCTCTGGTAGCTGCTTGAGCAGCTAGGGCAGCTGCTTCAGCTGCTTGCACCATACGTCGAGCCACCTCCATGCCATCCACACCTTCAACACCAGGTGTAGCTGCTACTGCAGCTGGTGATCCACCAGCAGAAGGACTACCCACCTGCGGTGAATCCATGTCCCCAATCTCAGCCTCCTCCTCAAAGAAATTGTCAAAGGAAAATCAAATTTCACACTTTCGTTCTGCTGCAAATTCTCTGTCAACGCCAGGAAAACTGTACCCACAATCCAGCACCTGTATTTTCCAGAACCTGTGTTTAGACCTTAGGCCTACCAGTATATATCCAGAATTCCAGTGTTTGCCAGTTGTATTCTAAATCCCAGCTTTCGTCCAAATGCAGCTACCTCCAGAAAGGTTCAGCACCAGGAAAGCGTCTGCCCGCAAGCGGGCTCCGCTACCATGCAAAGACTCAGGCGAAAACGCTGCAGTCTATTTTCACTCGTGCCAAAAGGGTCTCACAAGTTTCAACTGCACATGCTGTTCATGTCAGTCTATGAAGTGAAATGACAAATGCAACTCTCTTATCGATTTGTGCGTGTCATCCTGGCACATGTGAGTGGGCTCCACAACTTTCCACACTAACAAGGGCATCTCGATGCTGGTCAACGCCTCCCCTTGTAGCAAACTCAAGCATCTGATCCCACAGAGTCCTTTGGTCCACGTGTTGTTGATGGACAGCTTTGTCAAGAAGTGCTTTGATTTGTCCACGAGAAGGCTCGTCTGCTATGTTCGACTCAGTGGGCACCCTGCTGAACCACGCATTCCACTTCAATTCAAACTCCAGTTGAAGGATCGCACAAAGTATTGGCACTGTTTTTTCCTCTGGTTTGGCCGATGTCGCTCTAAGGCTCGGTCCTGAAATTGGTATAAACAGGTCAAACTAATTAAAAACTCTAACTGAAACGCGGTGGTTTCAGCATATCTGTATAATGGCAAATCAACACACCACAAACACAAGAAGAACAAAACAAGCAAAGAAAACAACAGACGACCCGCAAATCCCCCAGCCAGACTTGCGTTTCGCCAAGGGAAGCAACAGCGAAGCATCAAACAAACGGGGCCGGGGCACAACACAAACAAAAACATCCAAGATTTGTCAAAGGACACAGAGGGAATTTCCCACTGTGTCACAAGAACTTGCAATAATAGAAACTAATTGTGTACATCCATCATTGACAAGGCAGACTATGAGGTGAGACAAATAAGCAAATTATGCCAGTGCAATTGCAAGACGATTGAAAAACTGTACAAGCGGAAGCATCCTCTCAGAGTCCTCTCACGTGTGCTTTTTCTAGCATCCGCCATAGTTGACCTCTGAATAGAAAGAGAAGCTTTACTATCCAGTGCTCATGTTGAGAGCAACGGCTCATGCATATCTCACTATGTCTGCAGGCAGGCCGTCCCCCCAATGAGGGGGAACGGCAAAGTAGTCCTGATGGACGCAGGTGACCTGGGCAGGGCCGGACTGCCAGTCTCCGATAAAGATCCTTGTATATCTGAAGAGAGCAGTATTGTCGTCACAATAACAAGTCCAGCGAGGGCCACTAAGGACTGTGCAGTAGCCCGAGTCGATGCATCTCTCCGAGGTACCAAGGCAACAGGCGATTACCGGTCGCACTCAATTGGTAAAGGGCATCATGCAAAGGTGTAATGATTGTATTGGGCATAAAAAGGTCATGATGTCAGGCAGAGCGTTGTTCAGGCACCCGCAGAGTGTCATCGTCTCTTACTGGTGTATGCGGCACAATGCCAAACTGGGAGATCACGTCACACGTTCCTGCAGCAGAACCTCAGCAACTAGCAATCACACCCAAGACCACCGCTTAGCTGGTTTGTATCGCCGCAGGGACGAGCCATTGGGGCAGGCTTTTGCTGCACAGGGGCGCACTGAGCTGTCCAGCAGAGAGCAGCACCCAGTGCAACTCGCTGCAAGCGCAGCTCAGTCCATGGCGACGGCCGGCTACGTCCCCACCCCCCGATGCCCAACAGACAAGTAAAAGGAAAAAGTCGACCCAACACAAACCGACACTCGAAAAACGACTCAGAAAGAAAACGAATTCAAAAAAGGGGATGAAAGTAGGGAAAGGATCCATGCTTCAATAACCTTAGCATTCGGTAAACTGTGCCTTAGAGTACGTGGCAGGATCGAATGCGAAAGTGAAGGATATCTTAACGCCAATTCGTCCTGTCTAAGGACGTGAAGGTACAACCAACTCGTCCAATCCAGGGGCGTGAAGGTGTACTCTTGCATCAGTTCCTGAGGTTCGGGCCACTAGTGCGCACCTGAACTTCTTAGCAGTGAACCTAACTTGGTCAACAGCAAAACAAACAGTAAAAGTGACAGAAACGAGGAGCAGAAGAGGGGCAGAAGGGGGAGAAGAAGGAGAGCAGGACAAGGGGGCCGAGGAAAGAAAAGCAGCATGAGACAAGGAGGGCGATCACATGCAGCGTTAAACTGGGGTCGTAAAGTGGGGCTAAGCACAAGAGGCAGGACCGACTCAGCGTGGAGACGGCAGGCACCTGAACCACAAGCGCAACATGGTGGAGAGGGCAGGACCCCACACAGGGCACAAGACCTTTGGTGCCATGAAAGAGGAAAGGAGCAAGCCGTAGACACACTCCTAACAGGCAGGCAACCGTCAAGGGATGCTTACTGTACTTAAGGAGCAGACAGAAAACAGTGCCAGCCAGTTAGACACTCGGGCCGTTGCGAGGTACAACCAGATACCCAAGAGGAGATTTTTTTTTTGCCCGAGCCCGTTGCCTTTCGGCGGGTCTACGGTACTTGAGACTTACTCGTCTACCACGTCACGATCGCGGCCCCGTACCCGGGGGGAATCGATCCGCGGCTAGCTGTCCATGCACGGTCCTGAGACGGGCATCATACCACTACGCGACGAGATCGCCTAACCAGATACCCAAGAGGAGACACCAGCCGGGAGATCCCGCTGAACCACAAAGCAGCACCACAGTAGTCCGCGAGGGAGGGGGGGGCGTGAAGGGACACGACAGGCAAAAACGCTGTGCAAAAGACCCGCGAATCCAACGGGGGGAGGTGACACACAGAAAAGAGAGCACAGACAGAAACAGGGAGAAAAGAGACGGGGGAAAGGGTGGGTAGCTACGTTGTTCGGAGCGAGGTATTATCATTTTTTTCCCCTCCAGTCGCCTCTTGGCTTTCGCCAGGTCGATCCACACGCTCTATTAGTATGCAACATGTTTCATCAATTAATGCATTGAAATTCATCCATCTTGTTGAGCCGCAAAAGCAGTGCTGAAATAGGACCAGTACACAGTCCAATAGGCCGTCACGATGCCAAAAGAACAAGAAAGAACCCAACAAAAAGCCAAAAAAGCAAACAAAACAAGACAAAACACAAAACAAATAAAACCGCAAGCAAAACACCAAAAGCATTGCAGTGACATAGGGCCAGACAGCACGGTTGCTAAAGATAATTGCTTTGCATTATCAAATGGATTGGTGTGGCGAGAAAACAAATGACAAAAAGGAGCGAAACACCAATCACAAAATCGCCATGCAAGAGATGTGAGAAAAAGCAACACAGCACTGTGCGGAAACCAGGGCTCCCCCCCAGCCAGGAGCCCAGATCACACAGATCAAGCCACGCGGGCATAAATTCTCACAAATCTGTAAATCGTAAGACTAGCAATGACACCGTCACGTTGTCAACGGAAAGGTGAAACGAAGTGTGAGACAGGGCTATGGTGAGAAAAGAGGACGCGCCTCTCGCCATGTGGTAACTGCAGCTTCTTTCGTCAAGCGAGGTGGATGAAAGATTGGTGTTACTAACTTGAAGGAAAGCTGAGCTGCGTATGTCATGTAGGCACAGCATCCATGATGTTGGGACAGTTGACATCGTGTGCAAAGCTTAGGAACGCCATGGCAAAGATGTACTTTGACATCATCACAAGCTACAAGGTCCATAAGGAGGTGTGTCTTATGGACGAACTGGCTGAGGCTACGGAAACTCAGATGTAATTCATCTCGCACATCGGCTTTAACCATTGTTTCGACAACTGGGTGCGATTGCTTGTCCTAGTAATTTGTAGGATTTCTGCAACTAGCTTGTGTGGGTCGCGGACAAGCGCCTGCGCATCGGCTAGAGGTCTATCTAAGGCCATGGCAACTCCCATTTCGCCTCCATAGGGTGGATCGTCCCGTTTGCATTCGGTGTACGATTGATACTCCTCTCCCATTCCCGTGGTGGGGCAGTACGGATGTTTGGGGTCGTAGAAAGGTGCTTTCCGGCAGCCAGGCGGCTGGTTGGTTGGCAGCTGCTGTCGCTGCGCGACGTTGGTCGTTGTACGTGACAGTCTGTGAGTTAGTTACCTTTTTTGCAATCTGTTCGCGTGATGGCCCACGCAGTTCCCAACACCAAAGACTTCTTCTCCTGGCTTTAGACCTGAGGACAAGCAAGCGGCTCCGGCGACAATCCCTGCTGACAACTCCAAAGCCCCTGTGGACCTTCTCGAAAATCACAAAGTCATCGATCATGCCCACAGCTGACAGGCTGACGACCGGGCCTCTGCTGCAGCGTCAAAAAGTCAGCGAGCTTGAATTACCCTGAGCGCAAGAGAGGTGAGCAACTTGACCGTAAGCAACTGCATAGGTGTTGAAACAAGCAAAGAGTTCACTTTCCTTTTCCAAATCGCCCCTTGAAGCATTTGAGGTGTCGGACTTGGTGAAAAAAAGCCGCTAGAAGTGGCCCATTCGTGAGCTGTCTCAGGAACCGACGAAGACTCATGAACTCACACCACGAACTCACCAGCAGAGTGACTTCCATTGCAGCGATCAGCGAGCATGGCGAGCGCAAAAATCGCCTGAGCCTCATAGAAGCGCACCTATTCTGAGACTGAGCCATGGTCACACTCTCCGAGCGACCTGATGGCTTAGATCAAACAGAATATGGGGTGGGACAACCTAAGAAGCCTAACAAAACCCGAGAGAAACCCTGCAAAAACGTACCTGATCATGCCGCAATGAAAGATCCTACGAGCACATGCAAGACATAAACATGCAATTAAGCTGCATTTGAAAATTGAATAGTTAATTCAGTAAACACTAAAATTACTTACAACAGATCAGACAGAGAAGGAAGGCTCACTTCGTGGGCGATCGCCCTGTGCCAGTCAGCACAATCATACCTTCAAGTCCGATCTGGACTCAACACCCCTCCCGCTGAGGTGATCGCCTGAGCCGGGTCGGAATGAACACATGAACGTGTAGATTATGAGACCCCTCGCAAGTAAACGATCGCTCAACTTGCTGACATTGAACACGGCAAATGAAAAGAGCAGCACATGCCGAAATGTAAACAAGTTGAACAAACAGAAATAAAAAGGAAACCGTCTCATGATGTCTCATGCAAAACCCCTTTTCAGTTGCACTTCCCGTTTCATGCTGGAGCAATACTGGAGTTTGGCTAGTTCTATTGAGAACGCTTTCTTTGAATCTACAGCCAACCAGCTTGGCTTTGGCATGTGTGATCCTGTTACAACAGCTCTGAGTGCAGAAACTGCCAGTGCTAGACAAGCTCGGACGGTTAGAGCTCTGCTCGGCTGCCCAACAGCCTAGGAATATCCTCAAGAAGACGGAGTCGGATCCCTCAGTTACGCCGTTGCTCAACCAGGAGACAGCTGCTCGCTGGATGGGCGGCAAAGCTGGAAGAGACAGGTAGGAGGGCCGGCTCGTCTTAGGCAGAACTATCAGCGGCACCTAGAACCATGGCAGCTCATATTCAACTTGGGAAAGGGAAGAGTGGTTGCTAGGTGAAGGTATCCCTGTTTTCCCCCATCATCGGCCACCGAACTGCTCCATGCACCCTATCACCTCGATCGGGTTGGCCTCGGTCGCGCGTTTCTGAACAATCTCTGCCTGGACATTCGGGGCAATCAATTGCTAGTTTGGAGGTGACCTATCTAAAAATAGTCGTCCTCGTGGCTCAGTTGGTATCGCGGCACTCTTGTGTCGCTGACAGACTGCTGGTGGTGGTTCGATTCCCCGCTGGTCCGCGAGTAAGACTCAAGTACCGTAGACCCGCCGAAAGGAAACGGGCTCGGACAAAAGAAAAAAAAATTGGAGGTGACCCATCTAATGGCTGTTCTGAGCGATGGAACTATTGTCGGATCGCATTCACGCTGGTCCAAAAACAGAGCATATTTCAAAATCTTATCAAGCTCGTCTTTCTTGTTTGGTGGTGGCTCTGCATGATCTTTGCCTCTTTGCGTTTTGACGATGCTGTTCATGTGAAGCCGCATGAGCTTATCCTCACGGATGAAGGCCTGTTCGGCGTGGCATGGCAGACAAAGGTCGAAAGGAAGAGGAGGGGAACTAAGTTCGTTGTTCCCATGTCGGCTTCGCTGACTCTGGATGGCTGCTTGCTGGTTGGAGCATTTTCTGGTTGGAGTCTTTCGACAGAGACTACTGGATGCGGGATCTGAACACCCGCGACGCGTTTAGAGATGTGGCGGCAGCCTATCAACGTTCAGTTCAATGGCTCCGCCAAGTTCGCCTGAAAAAGTACTTTTAGGGTGAGGAGCAGGCGATCAAGCTGGCAGAATCCAAGCTCCATGGGTTACGGCGCTCTGCTCGTGTGACGCTTCTTGACGCAGCGGTGCATGCTGGTCGCTCGACAGAAGAGATCGGCCTGCAGGCAAACTGGAAGAATCCGGACCCGCTCCTTTTGAAGTACACACGGAATCGCACGAGTGTGCCAGCTCAGATGGTTCAGCAGCTCGTGAAGGACATGGTCGACCACTCCCACCCGTTCGAGGTGCCAGCTGATGCGGTGCTGGATGATGGCGCCGAGACCGCTCAAGACCCATAGCTCCAGGGCAAATCAAGACTTTCGTTTTCATTGCTCGCAGGTGGGCGATACTTCATTGGTGCTGCAAGTTATGGCATTTATTTCTGTCGTGTGTTCATTTAGCATGCTCTGCAAGTTTTTCTTTTTCAAGAAGCAATTTCAGTGATCGTTTGAAAGATGGTCGATCGCACGGTCTATGCAGCTGACGCCGTGCCTGAGCTCCCGCTGCGGCAAATCCTGGGGCGTCAAGAGGGAAAGCAGACGATCAAGACTCTGATGCCGGATCACACCCAGCTCGGAGCCGATCAACCTGCTCAAGAACTGGCTCTGGCCTCACTGGCAGCGGGGAAGACATGCTCTACTATGCAGGACCATTTTGCAGCTCGCAGAACAAAGCGATGGAAGAAGATCCTTTTTTTCCGTCCAACGCCTTCATGGCTTCCGCCAGGTCGTTCAACACGTTCAATTGCATGTTGCAAATTAGGTTTCATTAGTTAATTAGCGCATACACATGGCCGTCTGCTGATTGAGGGGCCTCAAGAGTGAACTGGTAAAGGACCTGAGTGCAGTCCAGTAGGCCGTCACGAAGTCACCATCAAACAAAACAAACAAAAAACGAAACACCAAAACCAAAAGCAAACCCACCAACGCAAAACAAAACACAGCAACACAAAACAAAACCGCAGAACCGAGGCGTGACAGGTGCCAGTTCATGGGCTAATTCATGCAAGAGATGATAACATTGTATCATCTCGACATGGTATGGCGGCAGAAACAACGGGAAGAGCAACAAAATCAAAAGCGATGGAAGAAGATCCGTCAAAGGTGCCGGAGATCCCTGGTGAAGACCATGCCGAATTTAGAGAGACGTTCGTCTCCAGGCACCCTGACTTTGTTCTTCCAATCTATCGTGAGCCTCACCGCAAGTTCGTTGAGAGAGTCCAAGATCATCTTGTCCATGGTTTTGTTCACTTCTACGAGGTGAGTGAGATCAGGACACGCAACGAGCAGATCGCTCAGAAGTCCGGGCTTTCCAAGAATGCGGAAGATCTGCTGCGAGTGGTGACGATCGACCAGCCTGACCGCCAGTTCAGAGAGCCAAGTCAAACATTTGTGAGTTCTCCTTCAAGGCCGGCCCTCTCAAATACCTGGCCGAACTGGAAGAGTGGCGGCGTGAGAACCGTGGCCTTGCTCTGCTCCTGGCAGCGGACTCGCTGATCAGGAAGAAAGTTCATCGGGGAGCTCGGATCAGCGGAAGAAGTTCGGCACCTTCTCGGCAGCTCTCTTGGAAGCGCTCACCAACCACAGACAGTTGTGGAATGATGCTCGCTCGAGTGGGGAACTGGACAAGTTCAAGCAGGCGGCGACAAGCGCCCCCACGACGCCGCCCAAGAAGCGAGCTCGTTCGACGTCACCACCTTCTCCACCAAGCACAGCCAAGGCCAAGAAGAATAGCAATGGCGTGCTCGCCAAAGAGTTCAACTTCAGCAGGCCAAAGCAGTTCTAGCAAAGCACTCTGATCGCGACAAGCCAGACAGCAAGAAGCCGTCTCGCGATGCTCGTGTTTTTTGTTTTTTTTGGCTCTGGTGTGGCCGATCACGCTCTAAGGCTCGGTCCTTACAATCCGCTCGTGTGCTCCTAGCAGAGTGGCAGAAAATCACCTCGTTCAAATATGGTGGCCCCAAACGCTGCCCTTTCTTCAACTGCTCGCTGGGGTGCCGCTTTGGAGATCAGTGCAAGCAGAAACACAGCTGTGTCGAGTGTGGGGAAAGACCACCCTCGGCATGGTAACCACTGAACAACCCCCCTGGGGGGGAGGCTGCGGCTCCTCCCGTAGTTCTGAGCGAAAGGCAGCAATGACGGCTCTCTCAGCTCTGCTGAGCAATAAGAATGAGCTCCCAGCCACCCGGATACACAGGCAGTGCAATCCCAAAGCTGTCGAAGTGCCTTCCTTTCAGTTCCAGCCATTGAATTCTTTGCCGAAGAACAGTACCAAGCGCTACAGGATTGGTACAGTGCACTAGGACAGGGGTTGACACCAATTGACGCCACGGTAAAGACTGATAGAGGCCCCCTGCCCGCTACGTTTCTCCTGCATGACCTATGGATGTTTGGATGCACCAAGCCCACCAGCGAAGTAACCGCAGTCGCACAAACCCCCCTCTGCAGGTACCAGCTAGGCCTAGGCATCTATAATGTCCATGCTGCTGTCGAGGGGATGGATGGAGGTAAACGATCACACCTTCTCAATCTGTGCGGGCAGTTATTACGGCTTGTCCTCATTCCCTGCCATATCAAAGGAGAACCTCACCACTGGACTCGCAGTACAGCAATCTCCTTTGCCGCGGAACTTGATGGACACGTCCTAGGCACGCTATGCGCAGTCACCATGGCGCTACTCACCAATCGGCTGGATCTGTGCATCCAAGGGTTATTTGGGGCAGGCAAATCCAAGTCAATGGCCGTCCTCATTCTAGCCCTCCTGGAACTTGATGTAACGGACAGCCTTTAAATCTTGTTCATATTCATATGCAAAGAAAACTCTGGCACCCGCTCCTTCGCTGACCTGCTCCTGTGGCTCGACCCCCCGTCGGGGGTGCTTGGGCGCATAGGCAGGCTAGTCGGAGACCAAGAGCGCAACAAAAGTAGCTACTCCCACACCAAATTTGATATCAACCCGAGGGAAAGAAGGCAGATGTTAAGCAGGTGCCAACTAGTTATGGCCACGGGAGGAACGATAGCCCAAGACCTCACCATGCAATGGTCAACGCTTGGTGGGTTCATGCAAGAACTCTCCCTCCTGGTGATTGATGAAGGCCAGCAATACGGTACAGACCGGGAAATTGCGGTAATTAGCCTGCTCAAACAGCAACCCCTCGTCATATGGACTGGTGACTCACAGCAAACGCCAGGCGGCATTGCCCAGGCAGCACCCAATGCCAAAAGATCTCGCCAGCTACTGTTGGCCAAAAAAACACGGGTTACGCAGTGACAGAAATTATTTTATGCCATCCAACCTAGCGGAAGCAATGATCAAGCTCCTTGACCACTCTTCCAATGAAGGGCTGGCCATTCTCAGCCAAGTTCTAGGCAAAGGAGAACATGCCCTAGGCAACTTATGGACTGACCAACTGACACAACAGGCCACTCTGGACCTCCGAACGGTAAATACGGTCCTCCCAGGCCTAGACGCTTAGTTTCGAGCGGGCCCAACCGACTGAACAAGCCCAATTCCTCACAATAGTCAATCCCCAACTACTAGAAGGCACTACAGTACGGTAAACTTTTCACGGTCCCTTGTCCGGCTTGCCTGGATACTGCAACATGCCGTCACCCTCCTACCCATGGCAGGTGACATTCAAGCAGTACTGAACTCCCAGACAGCAGGAGTCAGTGATGCATGGGGACTTATGCTGCCATCTAGCTCTAGAGTGAGCCCCATCACATACCATTCGGTTGTCGCGGTCAGATACCCGGATCTCTGCCGGTACATCAACAGTACCTGAGGATCCCGGCACAGCAACTTCCTTACAATGAAACCATTTTGTATGCATACGCCGCCGACCGCACGAATCGCCCTACATATGTGTGCCATCTGGGTTGTACAACGCACGGGCCGGGCGTGTCCTAGCACAATCCGGCCCGACCAAGAAATCACACCGCTACCGGGCATTTATTTCTTTGATGGGTGGCGAGTACATCCAACATTGGTATCCCAGCCGACCTACCAAGCACAAAAGAGGCACCAGTATGTGGAGTTGAAGGCCGCGCACACAGTCCTGCTAGCGCAGAACCACCCCGATCACCGGAAGAAATTTACTGACAAGAACGCTCCAGGATTGAGCTTGACCTTAGATAAGGAATTTCAAGCAGCTGACTGCTTTTCAGAGCTCGCCCGAGGATACACACAAGGGGTAGTTGACCCTTATAAAATGATGGGCCTGCAACCCACTGGACCCACCCGAGTCAATCTGGAAATAATTGTACCGTCCGGTAAAGGACTTACGCCTGAAATGTGGAAACAGACAGCCACCTTGTGCCCGCTTGATTGGCCGTCCAATTATAACCTTCTGAGATTGTGGCACACGCCCAAAAGCTTCCACCAATATGCTGCTCAACTCAAGCAACAAGTTCAACATCAACATATGTTCACCATTGGGAAGTCAATCGCGCTAAGTTAGCCAGTAGAGTGGTGTTCCAACGACCAGCTTATGTACCGGAACAGACTTTGCAACAGCATGTACGACCGCGTCTTCTCTGATCGAAAACTACGCAAAAGAGCACCGGATATTGACATAGCTGCGTTCGACGCCACATGCAACGAAGTACGTCGCTTGGCTGCAATAAAAGAAGCAGAGCACCCGGTCTCCTTTGCCATTGGGAACAGCTGGAATGACACTCTCCGAGCAGACAAACGCCACCATCTTGAATACACTCAACGGAGTCAGACATAACCCTCTTTCCTTCTCCTCCCCTACCTTCCTGGGTCGCACCTCTCGTTTCACCTCATTGTCTTTCAGTTTTATCTCTGTCCCTGCTTTAGCCCCCCTAGTCCGCTCGGTTGGGCCCTTTTTGCTCCGGTCGGGACCTATTAGTGACTTCCTCTTCCGGCCTTTCGCGTTTTTGCCTGTGCTGTTCACCTGGGTCTGTTTGGCCACTGGTGCATCTGTCCATAGACGCGGCAGGTGCATTGGAGTCTTACTTTCCCTGTATTATGGTCGAGCTTAGTATTTGTACTTGTGTGTCTGTCCATAGACGTGACTGGTGCACTTGTGCTCCCTGACTCGTTTTGTTTGGCTCGTTTCTTTCTGCACGCCCCTCCTTTTCTCTGTCCTCTTATCATTTTGCCTCACTCTGATCCTGCGCAATATGCCTCTCTACTACAGTGTCTGTGCCGTCCTCCTTCTCCTTGTCTGTCTTGTGCTTCTTTTCTTGTGCTGCCCGGTGGTGCTCGTGTCTTCGTGCCTTCTTTGGCGCCGTGGGCTCGTTGTCTCTGTTGGTTTGGTGCTCCTCGCTGTGTCTGTGCGGGTCTCGGTGTTTCCCATGTTGCCTGCCCTCCCTTGCTGTGCTTCCTGCCTCTGTCCTTCTTGCCTCCCCTGCCCCGCGTGTAGTCTCTTTTGTGCTCTGGTCCAGCTCACACTCCTGTGTGCTAGTGCCTCCCTCGGAGTATCTGGTTGCAGCTGTGACGGCTCTGTTGCCCTGCTTTCTTGCTGGGAGTGTGGTTTAGTTTTACTTTCTCCAATGCAGCTGTCACGTCTATGGACAGATGCACCAGTGGCCAGAGAGAGCGAGGGAGAGCAGCAAAGCAGAGGAAGCAGAGGAAGCACACAAGGCCCAACAAAGACACAAGAGCAGAGAAGAGGAGGAAGCGGGAAAACCACCAAAGAAACAACAGGACACAGGGACCGAGCGGCAACCAAAGGAGGAGGCGCCGGGAAGGCAGAGGAGGACAGGGCGGAGAAGGCTGCACACATCACATTAGAACAGCAACAGTGCAGCTTAGCGGAGTCTGAGATGTGATCATCACGGTGAATGCCTTAGTATGGCCGAACTAAGCTCCCCGACGCCACCAGTAACATGGTGTAGAGGGTGAACACCAAAGCAATCCTAATGACAAAGCAACTTTCTGAAGCAGCAGGAGGGGGTGAAGTTGCTCAGTATCGCAGAAAACAACTAAAGGTTGTCAAAGGCTTTCTCAAATCGCCTCGGAAGCAGAAAAGAACACGATCCTCTCAGCTTTCTCACCCTTCATGCAAGCACAATGCTAAAGCCAAGTCAAGCAAGAAGAAGGCGAGGGCGACAAAGCACGGACCCCCTAAAGATGGTGAGAATGAGGGTACAGTTGAAGAGATCGGCCCTGCAGGATTACCTAGGATCATCGCACATGGAACGCTGGCCAACATTGGCGTTATCTCGATGTTTGATGGTGTCGGATCTGTCTATCACATCATTAAGAAAAAACTAGGTAAACCCCCTACTATTTTCATCGCGGCAGAAATCGATCCTGTTCTGCGTCGGCTTGTCGCTGCTGAAATAGGACTGCGCGAAGACCAACAGTGGGGATATACGATTGAAGGGGTTGCTACCATCTACGTTAAAGATGTCTGGGCTTTAGTTGCCCGTGACTCTCTGATCCTTCGTCAAGCCAAAGCAATGCACCCTACAATTAAGTGGATTGTTGTCGCAGAATCTCCCTGTCAAGATCTCACTTATGCAGACTATCTAAATGGATTGCTTCGGCTGACAGGTCAGCGAAGTATGCTCTTCTTCGTAGTATACCTTGTCATTCTGCACCTCCAGAAGCTGTTTGGAACTGAATCGATTCGATACTTAACAGAGAATACTGGAAGCATGCAAATTGTACAAACTGACCGTAAACCTAAAGCTATGCAGCGCCTCGAGCAGTCGGAACACTTCCAAATGTTTCTATACTGTCTTGGACTCCCTAGCAAGCAACCAACCAACCGGTGGGTTTGGGACACCAGTCCCTACTATGGCATTCAGCGA